TTTTTTGTGAGGAGAAAATCGACGAACACTTTTTAAACACGTTTTCAGTTTCTCAATCCAATTTTTTAGCAATTGCCTAATCACCGATATTGCATCAATGGAGTTTTCAAATTCACAAGATGAACTGAATGAATGTGAACTGATTTGTTCGTCGAGCGATAAGAATCCCATTTGACTGTGTCATTAGAGGCATTCAGTAGGTATCAGGAGAAATTTAGAAGATATTATTGTTTCAAATCTAGCAGATGATCGATGTGTCCATTGCGATAAGAATTCCACTGTTTTTTTAGTGTCAAAGAGAATTGGCACGGAAAAGCAAAGATCGAAGAAATATTTTATTAATTAGATGGATGTGTTCAGAAATATAAAATCAACAACCGAAAACGCACACTATGATCGAACCCAATTTGATAGATGATCGCACTGAACAGTGCGGCAACATCGAACTGTGCAGGAATTTTGCTGCAATTAACAAATTAATTGTCTTTGAGGTGAAATTATGAAGGACTGATGCTATTGAATGAATGTGCAGTAATCATTTGGACTTGAAAATCCTCTAGATTCTAGAATCCAGAGGCTTCTCGGAAGCAGATGAATCCAGAATTCTTTGTGGTAGTTGGAAACTCAAAAATTCATCTCATTTCAAAACCATTTTAAGAGAGAACACTGTGAACGTGTAGATCAAGAGCCCCAAGGAACAGCTGGGGAATGATCAATGGCCAATGAACACTCTCAAAAGTTTGGAGATTTCAACGAGGGTAAAACTTTGACTCAAATAATTCGACTCATATGATTGAGTTCGTAAAAATGTGTAAGTTGCAACATCGATTATCGATTTATTAACTAGATCAGTTACAGAATCGGTTCCTTCTGCGTTTACGATGAAATCACTGAATTCGAAGAAAGCGGCTCTGTTCAACTCTTCTCCAAAATGGTGAGGAGGTTTCCATGGGAAAGCGAAAAATTTTCTTGGCTTGCTTTATGTTTATTTCAAGGAACACAACACTTTTTCTATGTTGAAGACGAAAGCCATTACTGCTTATAGGAATAAATCAAATTCAGACAAACTCCATTTATATTTACATTTTTTGAATACATCTATGTTTATATGAAGGATCATAACTGAGTCATCATCTGAATCAATTCCGAGAACAAAAGTTAAGCTTCAGAACGGTCATTTAGACTCTTTACATATACTGCCGAATTCACATAATACGGAGCCATAAAGCAATGTTTCAAAATAATCAATACGAAAGGTGTTTAAAATGTTTTCATGAATTTTTTCCAAATCCCGTTTCTGCGCACAGTTGCATTCATTGTTTGTGAACAAAAGTTGAATGATCCCTCAATGGGGTACACATGATTCGATTCAAACATCGATGCATGATTCNACATGTCAATGAAAGAATATTTTATTTGTGTTATTAATATGAATTATGATTATGAAAGGAGTATATTAAAAGCGATGAGTGTTTGTTCCCTTCAATCGCACTTTACAGAAGTGATGATAAAAATGTACATTGCGGTTAGTTGGGCATTATGAAATAAATATTATGAAATATTGTACAAAACACGTACATATCGATGCTGTTGGGTGGTGATGAAGAACGATACAAATGCAGCACAGCCACAGCACACGACAGACATCGTTCATCGTTATCGAGCAGAGTGCAAGCCAGAGATACGGGAGATTCCACGAAACGTGCCACTGAGTTCAACAACTTCGAAAGAACATCCACCACTGAACAAATCGTCGTCGTGTTCATATGCCAAATCGAACGAACGAAGAAACTAGTTCTAACAAAACTCAATGTTTGTTCAGGAGGCGAAAAAAGGAAATATTCGAAAGAGTAACTTTTCTGAATAGATGTAAAATGTGAAAAAGAATATAACATAGACGAAAAATTCAAAAGCAAACAAATAAATAATTCTCATGAAACCGACGGTTGATTTATGATTGACTAAAAATTGATCGGTTAATTTTTTTTTAAATTCAGTGCTGCTGGAAAGTTAACGATAATGGATGAAATTCACATGAAGCCATCACTTTAACTCATTATTCCGAGTGAACTGTGCTCTAAACTATTGGAATTTTATTTTTTCAGATGTTGTTTCTTTGGAAGTCATGAAAGACATAGAACATGGCGAATCAATTGACTATGTGCAATCAATGCGATCGATGACTTAATATCTCACAAAATCGCTTTGTACTCTTTTACTGTTTGATGAGCATAAACGATTTCTGATTAGTGCTTTTAATGTGTGCAAATGTTTGCAAACGATATAAGTACGAAGGTGGTTGGTTATACGTGGAAAACGTTTAATACGATTGAATTGAATGATGAAGTGATTGTAGAGTAATCAGCAAATAGCTACTGTGTGTACACATTACGTTTGTGATACAAAGTTGACTACGAAATACAAATAAAGTTGAAAAAATTGTTTGTCAATTGAAAATACGGATTGTGAGACGTACGTACGTTCGATGTTAATAAGAAGTGCAGTCAGATGTACACAAATACTAATGAATTGTACCGAATTACGCGTGAATGAGTTTCGAGAATAACGTTCATTAGAACCACTCATTGCGACTGGCCGCTTTCGATGGATAACACCTCCAAACCAAACATCACCTGGAAAACAAAATTATCGATTCTAGAGATGTGTGGAGGGATCATAAACGCTTGAATAATACTTCGATTAGTGTTTCTGTATCACCGACTTTTTTGTATCAGTGACTCAAAATTTGTCTTGAATAATCTCACTCAAGTAATCACGATTATCATATCATCTTGAAATGCTTATGCATAATCTTATCTTTTGCAAGTTCTGATTCAGTGAAACGGAACATTTGAGTGCGTTCAAATGGAAAGGATCTTGTAAAGAACTCCGACTGATATATTGATAAAACTAGACCTTCATCAAACTGAATTCGATCAACCACACTCGAGCAAATCTTGAACAAGCGACGTATGAAATGCAACACATTCGACGACAACGCTTTCCGTCCGAAATCAGTTTTTTGCCAACATAACTGCACAATTTTATCAATCACAAACAATGCGCTCCGTCTCAGTGCAGAATCGTTCACATCGACTAATCGCTGATCACATAACTCGTTCAGTTCATATTCCAATCGATCCAATTGACATTCCTGGTCCGAATACAAAATCCTTTTCCATTCAAACAATTTTCTCAATGAATTCTTCATTTCTTCTGATTCATCACCGACTCTCAAGCAATCAGTCGATGAGGACACTTCCATTACGACGATAGTAATGGTAATGATCAAGCAAGAATTACAGCCGAACCGTAAATAGTGACAGCAACATTTCTCTGAAAATTCGAATCTCGTCTGCAATGAAATGTGCTGCTTGATAGCTTTTTCAATAACAGAACAAAGCAGATTTTAGATGGATTTCAGTCCCCATTATTAAACATTGAACACTGCGTTGAAGAAGAGAAAAATGTGCCTTTCGATTAAAAAATTTCAATCGAGCACACGCTCCTTGCCATTTGCTTAAAATTAGTAGCGATTGCCTTTCAGAATGCTGATTCTTCCCGTTTCAATACATGAGCTGTTTTATATCAATTCCAATTATCGAACATTACTGCAATATCAACGCAACTCAAGTGTCAAATTTCTCACTTTCTATGTGCTGCAAATTAATGCCGTAAATTTCGTCCGCCCAATGCCGTTTTCCAAGAACAACGACATATCTACGTGTCACCAACTCCACTTATGCATCATAATTTCAGAATAGTTCACTAACACAAAAATCCACGTATCTATACTGATAATTGAGGTGAACCTTTTCCTATCGTCCTTATCGTTTGTTCCTATCAAAACTATCATCCACCAACCACTCAAATTTTTTGGAATTATTAGAGAAACTTTTTTTTGCAGAGAAACTAAGTGTTTGTACACCACAATAATCTTTGTATCAGTCTTCATTTGCGGCTTACAATTTTGATGATTTCGAACTAAGACGCCTATTACCTAATTATGTTTTCAACCAATCATATTAAATACTCGTTCCTTCATTTTTTACTTAAGTAAAGTAATTAGCACAGTTTTGCTGGACTGTAAATACGTCGAACTTCAATTCGCATAATCCAAATAGTGTTTATGTGATCAGTGTCAAATAAACTCAAACTCATTACGCCTGTGTATGTGAAACAATGACTTAAAACAAAACAAGAACAACAACAGTAAAGGATGGATGAATAATGCGTTACGAGAACAACGAAACAAAGCAGCGCATTTATGTAACAGAAGACCAATAAATAACCAGAACATCGAACAATCTCAATAGCATTATTACTGATATCCATTTGATGATAACAACACAAAAATAATTTTGATACCGGTGATAACGTTGATAAGAATGACAGAAGATGAATGTGATTTATCGATCACTCAACTGAATTACATCAACCCTACAACCAACCAAAATCAAAACAAACAATAACAAAAGAACAAACAAGCAACCACAATAACCCAGCGCATCATCTATCTGCTGACTCTTTCAAACATCATTAAAACAGCAACAACAAACATCATTAAAACTCCACTTTCAGCAGTTTACCCACAACCTTCATTCGTCNAAACAACAATAACATCTAATTGGGTTAACTATCCTCATGAGCAAATGCCACAAGAAAAGCGCAACATCCACTCTCGATGTAGCATTGTTTCATGTGAATCATTCAACTCCATATTCATCGACCCGAGTCGTGCTCAAATCATTTCAAGCACCACAAATATCAGTCACACTCACCTCGTCATCCTCTTCATCCTCATCGTAATCATCGTAGATATCATCTTCGACCGCTTCACCGGTGTAATAAAGAACTGCTCGAGGCACAATCTGATCACGAATCAATTGACCTGTCTCAAAATCAACCCTCAACAGCTGTTGTTCTTCGAAATCCTGCAACGAAACTAATATGCACGTCGTCGTTATTGCAGAAAGTTCCATGTGAAAAATACACCAATGTCATTAGCGAGTAAACTCTGAAGATGTTAATATTAAGGTAGTAGTACGCACCTTATCATCCTCATTGAGATCAGCTTTCGTCGTCTTAACATCAAAGAAGTTGAAGAAGGAATCAGCCTTCACGGTTTTGGTGACAAATCTACCCGCACCAGTACCCTTCTTCTGTTTTCTCTTGACCACCTTTTGGGTGACGTTCTTTCCTTCGTTCCATTCTATTTCTGTTCTGAAATCAAGTAACATTTAAAGTGACCTCCATGGCAAAATCACCTCAGAAAGTTCATATAATCCAATAATTAGATTCACATAAACCAACCCTTTAGCCTCGACAAACATTGGTCCTTCAAAATCAAATGGATCGTCTTCATCGGGTGTCAACTGAATTCTATACCATTTCTTCAACACTGTTTGTTTGAAATATTCGTTCGGTGTGAAGTGGAAGAACAAAGTATACGACTGAAATGAACACGGCATTAACAACCACTTCACTTTAATCATCCTCGATATCGAATCAAGCTTCAACGGGCTCAGAAACTCTTGATTCCGTGGCTATCATCCAAAGAATGGGCCGAATTTCAACAACTAAAAAGCACCACTCACATCTGGATTTTCACCAATTTCCACCGTAATATCGTAGAGATGCTTGAGAATTGGCTCGTCGTGTTCTTGAATCATTTCGGCCAGATGATCAACTGATTTGAGAAGATTCAACCAAAAGTCAGGTACTCCCTTGGTACCTTCGGATGGTTCGGGTGCACTAGCTTCGTCCATCTTCTACAAAAGTCACCAAAAAATGCCAGTTCACAAACTACATAAACTCATAATATTCACGACTGAACTAGAAGAATTAACGAGGTGGCAATTGAGATTTAACTCATCATTATACGTGATAAAGGCGGTCATCTACACACCAACAAATTCATCTTATGTGGTTACACTTCAAAACGATTCTTCAAAAATGAATGATCTTCTTTCTCCAATAATACCACATGAGTTTGAATAAATTTTCATTCTTAATCACTACATCAATCCATTCCATTTACTTGAATGCTTCACTCAGTTTGTTTCAGGATGATGAAAGATTCATTTATGCATTCAGTATAAAGCCATGCACATATCAAACACATATCGCTTATCGCCAATCCGTAAGCGACAAATTAATAAACGAGAAAGTAATCAAGAAGAACCAAAACATACTTTGACTTCCTCTTCAGTGAGGCCATTGATAATTGGATAGTTACACTCCTCATCAGTCGGTTCATGTTCACCTGTTACAATTTCCTTTCTCTGCAAACAACAAACACCATTAAATATTCTCACCACCCTTTATGAACTCTCATCTCATAAAATATTTCCAAAACTCAATAACTGAATCACTCAATCATTGACCACTTCTCAAAGAAGCACTTGCATTCCATAAAGAAATTCGCAAACAATGCAAATTCTTAGAGCATACAATCAGAAAACTCATCAGAAAAGAGATGAATAGAATAATTCCAAATCTCTCTTCATAAGATAGAGTAACTGTTTCGTATAGCATGGGTAATAGAGCCACAGAGTGGATAAGCAAAAACGGAGATAAGATTTGAAATGGATTCAAATGAAATGCTAAAATACAACAATAACACACAATCAACAACCCTTTGTTAATTGTCCACAATCTATGCGATCAAAAAAACATTAATANAATTGAATGAATAAATGAAAAACCTTCTCGTGAAGTGCATCGAACATTGGCGCGAATTCCTTCTCAAGCTGATGGACACGCGCATAGAATTTCGCCTCAACATGGATGCCTAAAAATTTACTCTAGTCTTGAAATGTTCTCCTCAGTTCATCACATCAAACTACTGATTTTCACAACCCAACTTAATAGCATTTCACAAACTACCTACATCGTTTCACTAAAACTAAACGTCTAACGTATAGTAACACGTCCGATATTGGCCATGAAGGAACTCATCTTTATAGACTGCTAGCAATAATCAGTATTATTATGAATTTTACTAATTTCTTCCAAATCGAAGAATCTCTCAGTTGGCACGAATGATTTCACGATTATCCAACCGAAAAAGAAACAAAAGAAAATAGCAACCCAACATCAACGAGTAAAACAACGATGAAGCTTTAAAATGTGATTATATCTTCAATCGTCGTGAACAAGAACAACCAACAAACATATGTATGTTCCTCATTCATCATAAACTTGCAATAAAATTTCGGGAAACCCCATCAGTTGA